TAGTCAGGTGGGGGGTGCACTCCTATAAGCGCAGCTAATCGGGAGGCTGAGGCAGGAAAATCATTTAAACCCAGGAGCCGAGATCCACCACTGCACTCCAGCCTAGGCAACAAGAGCGAAACTGTCTCAAAAACAAAAACAGAAACAGAAGACCCTGCCTCTTAAAAATATAATAATAATGGGCCAGGCAGTGGCTCATGCCTGTGATCCCAGCACTTTGGGAGGCAGAGGCAGGCAGACTGATTGAACCCGGGAGTTGGAAACCAACCTGGGCAACACAGTGAAATCTCATCTCTACAAAAAAATACAAAAATCAGCCAGGTGTGGTGGTAGACGCCTGTAGTCCCAGCTACTCAGAAGGTTGAGGTGGGAGAAACTCGTGAGTCCAGGAGGTTAAGGGTGCAATGAGCCATGATTATACCACTGTACTCCAGGCTGGGTAACAGAGTGAGGCCCCATCTCCAAAAATACAATTTTATATTTTATATATATAATTTTATATACATAATGGCATTAGGACAACTGGTCAAATATCTGGAAAAAAATGATAACTGATACCCTGGCTGAGAAACCTATCATCAGAGAAAATAAATTCAAATTTAAGTCAAGTTTTAATAAACTAATGAATTTAATAAAAACCACTAAATGAATGAATTTAATAAATTTAATAAAAACCATTAAATTACTAGAAGAAAAAGCCTGTATAATTAAAATTAAGTTTCTGTGTCTTTCTGCCTCTTACAACAACAGTTTTATAGATTTCCACAAAATTATAAAGGTATGGACTTAAATCAGGCAATGTGGCATAGCAGAAATTCACATGGGAAGGTTTGGCTAAAACTGAGGTACGATCAGCAGCCACAAGACTCTACGCAGAAAATGAATGCCACGTGCACCGTGATGCTGTAGACAGGAAAACAAAACACTCGTTCAAGACCAAGCCCCAAACTGAAAGCTAGGAGGAGAGGAACTTCCAACTGTAAGCCCGGGGCTGCTTCTCCCATGGGCAACCCAGGGAGCCGGCTCCAGGCAGCAGAGGGTCGCTGATTATGAGAGGGCTGATGATGCTCCCAAGACACTGCTGTCCTAACACTTCTATTCTCTTGGAAGGTAAAGGGTTTCTAAACCCACAAAGAAAGCAAAGCAAAGAAGATGTGTGTCTAAGACACTACAAATAAATTAATAGACAGTGACGAACTGAAGAAGGGCCAGACAACTTCTGAGTCACCAAGCATGGCGTAGCGTTTCACACCACCAGGGCTTCACAGGGGCTCTTTACTCTTCCTGGACTGCAGGAAGTCCTGTTTGTCTGGTGAGATCCTAGTAATCTTCAGTTAAAAAAACACACATATTTTAGATTTCTATTTCAAATAATAACAACCTACATCTGCTGTGGAGAATTTGGAAAACACAGAAAAACAAAGAAGAAAATAAAATGAACATAGCTGCATCACCGGAAATAACCCCCATCAATGCTTTGGTATTTCCAAACATTTTTCTACCCATAAATGTACAGAAAATTTTCGACCTATATATTTTCTGCCAATTTTCTAGCCAGCTCGTAGAAAACTAATTTTCTTTATAAAACTGTATCACTGTGTGCCAGACACTATGCTTTCACTTTATACACGCTGTCCTTTAACCCTTATAACAATCTCTCCCCAGATAGTATCATCTGCTTGCCCATGGACCCTGGAGCCTAACTGTCAAGGTTCAAATCCCAGCTCTGCTACTGGCTAGCTATGTGAGGCAAGTTACATAAGTTGTCTAAGCCTCAGATTCCTTGCTGGTATAGTAGGAACCTACTTCATGGTATTGTTACGAAGATTAATGAGTTAACATGTGTTAAGCTCAGAGGAGTGTTTAGCACAAAGTACTCATTAGGTATCAACCATCTGTATTATCATGTTTGCCCAAGATCTCATAGCCACTTGGCACAGTCAAAATTCAAACCAGGCCAGGCACGGTGGCTCACACCTGTAATCCCAGCACTTTGGGAGGCCGAGGCAGGTGGATTACAAGATCAAGAGATCAAGACCATTCTGGCCAACATGGTGAAACCCAGTCTCTACTAAAAATACAAAAATTAGGCAGGGTGCAGTGCCTCACGCCTGTAATCCCAGCACTTTGGGAGGTGGATCAGCCGAGGCAGGTTGGATCATGAGGTCAAGAAATCAAGACCATCCTGGCCAACGTGGTGAAACTCCATGTCTACTAAAATACAAAAAATTAGCCAGGCATGGCGGTGCATGCCTGTAGTCCCAGCTACTCGAGAGGCTGAGGCAGGAGAATCGCTTGAACCTGGGAAGAGGAGGTTGCAGTGAGCTGAGATGACACCACTGCACTCCAGCCTAGTGACAGAGCAAGACTTTGTCTCAAAAATAAAAGAAATTTAAAAAAAATTCAAACCTGAGTCTGCACTACTTGCTATCAAGGGGAAGGATGAGCGAGCCTGCCCAAGACAAAATCAATCCTCTCAGCATTTCAGCAGGAATCACAAGTTCCTCTATGGTTTTTCTTAAATATTGAAACGCTGATGACCTCAATCAATAGCAAAGTTCAAATAAAAACCTACGGGTTGGCTTCAGGGACAATTAAAACTATATCAGATGCTGGTCTCCACATCAGTAGAGAAGGTCCTCTGCACATCAAATCTAGAGGGGTCCGCATAGTGTCACTGGGAGAGGGCATGACCATCAGTCTATAAGGTACTTCCACTCTTAACCACAATTCTGCTCTAAGGGCATTTCTCAAAAACAGACTGCTATGAGCAATAACAAGACCACACATAAGCAAATACAAAGAAGAGAGAAACAGTTCTCCAGCCTAATAGAATAGAATCGCCAGGTCTACTAGTCCTAAAAACTCCCTTGTCGGTCTCCCAGATTCATGCGTCCTGACAATCTCAGATTCACCCATGGGCCTCTGGGTCCCCAGATTCACCTACCCCTGGGCCTCTGCAACAGCTTCCTAACTGGACTTGCTGTCTCAGTCTCCCCCCTCCAAACCCTCTTCTGACACCTCACCAATGAACTCAGATACATCCCAGGCTTAAAATTCTCTCACGGCTTCCAAGTGTCAAGAAATCTGGCCCACCCTGCCCCACACTCCACAGAACTATACCCTTTCTCCCACACAAAAGGCCCACAAAAGCCTCCACAATCTCCACTCCTAATGCACTAACACCTGCCTAACAAAGTCCTACTTGCTCAAGACCCAGTACAAACATCTCAGCATCCCTCATACAACCAAAAGGATGCTGACCAGCTGCACACCACCTCAGTCACCCACTTAGGGGTATGAACTCTGGGCTCCTTCCCAAAGGGTCAGGTCCTACCATGTTTATAAGCCAAAAGAACAACATAACAAACCATCACAAATGAGCCACAGGAAGGAAAATGTATATACAGAACAGGTCAAGTCTGCAAACCTTATAGAAAGCAATTTAAATTACATGAATAGTTTTGGGTATCCATTTCTTAAAAAGAATGCAACGGCTGCTCATAATAAAGGAACTTTTGTTTCTTAAACTTAAGGAAGGATATCTGGATCTCTAAGAAGTATCTAAAGTAATTTCTTCCATAAGCAATAAAAAGCACAAGAATATTGGAAACAGCCTGATAACAGAACACAAAATTGAAATGGAAAACAGGCTGTAACCCCGAATCTGATAAATAACTTTAGGTTCCAAATTTTCTCCTGAGTGTTTCAAAATCATGAGCCTGGAAACAATTTCAAGGGATCTGGCCCAGCACCAACGGGAAGAAAAATGTATTTTTTCCTGGGAAGGTTTTGAAATCTTCTGTTTCAGCCCAGCAACAGAGACCGAGAAGGCAAATCCTGGATCTCCTGGCTCCTTGGAAAGCTGGAGGCAAGGTCCATTCCTCTAGTGAACATCATAAATTCTCTTTTTGTATCCTTTAAAACTGCTATCTTAAAATCAGCATTCATACATCTTATCAAATAATCATATCTTATTAAAATAGTTCTAATGGAACTTCTTTCAAAGGCCAAGTGCCCAGCTAGAACCCATAATCAATTTCCCTGAATAGTCTGCTTCGAGGTGGGCAGTGATTCCTGGGAAGATGTCACAAATTCCTCATCCATTCTGGCAGGTGGTGGCCTGAGGAGTTCCGCCGTCTCTAATACTCAAGTACCTCTTTTAAAAAAGCAAACACCTTGAGAGAAAAGCCACTTCTCAAACCCATATTCAGCAACTAACTTTTTAAGCTGTTAACCATTTAACAGAGATTAGCGACAAAGGGTAACAGACTAGAAGAGGGCCTACAACTAGTACAAAGAAGAGCAGACGGGAGTTCAAGGGAAAGCAGGCGATGAGAACAACTGGGCTTGTGAGGGACCTGGTCACATCGAAGCCTCTCACCGCCCAGGCCACCCGGCTGGGATGAGCTACAAATTTCATCAAGACAAGGGCAAGGGCAAGGCCGCTCCCCGGGCATGCTCGTCCCTGCAGGAAACGTAGAAGCCTGTCAAAATGCTTTCTGTTTCCCAGAGAAAGGGAGCACGAGGTCTCCGAGTGACCACAGGGCTACATTCCGATGGTTCCCTCTCAGCTCTGCCATTGCACAATGTGAGAGAGCGCAGGATGAGCTCAGGAAAAATAACAACTGCAGCCACAGCCTGTGGCCTACTGGACAGTCTTGCTCCACCCCTGCCCACAATGGCTTCCACACACTATGCAACACCACATTATTCTGCTTGATGTTTTTCAACTAAAACTAGGGCACACGAATGGCTGACTTAACATGAAGTTTTAAGAAATGGAGTTGGGACAGGTTCCCAGGCTCTACCCATCAGAGATGTGGGAGGCAGGGGGGCCTAGTACCAAGAACTCATCTAGTCTTATAGTGAATTGACAGGCATGTTTGGGAACCACAGTGATTTCTAACAGTGTTTTCAAGTGGAGTTGATGTCTCAGGAGTATCAGATGGTTATCCACTTCTCTCTGGTGAAAAGCTGGGGGATCTGAAAGTACTTACCAGCTCTCCGGTGGTAGCAATCATTGCATTCACCCTCCCAGAAACACACAAAGATGCCAAGTGAACACTGTTCACTCCAGGAGCCTCTCTCTGAATGCTCAGAGAGGAACCCGAGAACATGGGGTCTGCAGCCACTATGATCGGCACAAGAGTCAGAAACCTTGGGGCCAATGGAGAATTGGGCCAAAAGCCATTTCTCTGGAGCATAGAAACTCAGAATGCAAAGAAGATATGCAGCTATAAACCACAGAGAGTCAACCTGAGGATGGAGGGTTCACACTTCACTGGTCTCTACCCACGCAGTTTAGTTATTTCTAGTCCACTTAGAAAGCCACCATCGTACAAGGTCAGTCTTTTCTTCACAGCCAAAGAGAACGTTCATCATGTTTCACAGGGGAGCCACAGAGGTCTACAGCAGAAGGGCTGGGATGCTGGAGAGAAATGCAGATTCCTGAGGCCCACTCTGGCCTGCCTACCAAAGCAGAATCTCTAGGGGAGGAACCCCACAATCTGCATTTTAACAGAGGCTGGAAGGTTTCTTTCCCACACGAAATCTGAGAACTGCAGTTCTGAAGGAGATGTTTTACTTTCAAAGACAGACATGGAAGAAGTCTTACCAGCACATTACCTCTAGCGCAGTTTATAGGAACGAGCTGTGTAAACAGTATGGTTTAAAAAGTGGTTCACTGCTGAGGCCAGAGGGCATGCCTTACAGAGCAGAAAGAGAAGATACAGCCATCTGCCACGGGACTGTTTCCCTTTGATGAAACAAAGAGAAAACCAAAGCCACCTCCAAAGAGAAGCCCTCTGAAAAGGGATGCACCAGGCCTCAGTCTCTCCCAGGGAAACATCACTGATGCCTCCTATCAAGTCAACCCCCACCGGAAGTGTACAACCTGTGCTGTTAATTCCCATGTGATTAAAATTCTTAAATCTGTGCCCCAACAGAAAATGTTTAAAAGTACAATTTGAGGCTCTCTATACAACTACTAAAGAATATGTCCGATTTTCTACTAATGGATTAAGATAGATACACGAAGCAAGTATCATCGAACTGGTGGGTTTAAAATGGTAAGCTGTTGCTCAAGCATTTGGAGGTTTCAGTGGCAGGGTAGCCACTAGCTAGCTGTGGGACTCAGTTTCCTCTCTGTATTGTGCATGGGAAGGGTTTGATCTCTGAGGGCCTCTCCAGTTCTAACTTTGGGACAATGACCCTTGAGCAAAAACAATGAATGCCTTTCTCCAGCTCACAAAGCCACCTAATGACAATGCCCTAATCACACCCAGAACAGACACAGAAGATCCCTGAGGCCAGAGACAGTGCTTGACTCTTGCTCAACAAAGTCTGTTTGGTGGATGGCCAGTTGGCTGCATCCGTTTATAAAGCTGGCTACCTTCTCTGCAAGCACAGACTCTCCTGGACACCAGAGAGCTGGACAGGAAAATGAACACTGGGCTTGCTGCCTAGAAATAATTCCTGTAATCCAAGATCAACATCTCTGATAACACTGGCCTGTCCACCTCCAGGCCACGGCCAGGGCTGCCATCTGACACTCAGCCACACAAGTCCTAGCCCGGGGGCCGGTCTGCTCAAGGAAGGTCTGCTGGTTTAGCAGCACCGGCCTAGGAAAGGAGCAGAAAGAAGAAACCCGCAGGATCTCAGCTCCCAAATCCCCCCTTCTCATACTGGATTCCAGTTGTCCCAGGTAATCAATCTCTGCAAAGGCTAAGAAAATGGCCAAGCATGCAGACTCACGAGAAGACAGTGGTTCCCAGCTTACTGGGAACACGTGCTGCTGATCCAAGAGCAGCTGGGTCCTTGAGCGGCTACACAAATACACCAAAATTTACCAACTCCCTTTTCCCACCTTCTTCAGGGAGTTTTTCTTGATTATCAGTCATACAGAACTCTCCAGTTCTGCAACGTTCACCGAAATTATTACACAAACCACAGATTTCTGGCCCTGGGTTATATCCAGATTAGTATTTTACATAGGGATATCCCCTCCCCTTCATTTACTACAAAGTGCCAGCGTCTCTCAGAATCAAAAAACTCGCAGACAATGCTGAATACTACAGACAAATACGGTCCTCTTCAATGTTTTTTTTTTTTTTGGAGACAGAGTTTCGCTCTTGTTACCCAGGCTGGAGTGCAATGGCGCGATCTCGGCTCACCGCAACCTCCGCCTCCTGGGCCCAGGCAATTCTCCTGCCTCAGCCTCCTGAGTAGCTGGGATTACAGGCACGCACCACCATGCCCAGCTAATTTTTTGTATTTTTAGTAGAGACGGGGTTTCACCATGTTGACCAGGATGGTCTCGATCTCTTGACCTCGTGATCCACCCTCCTCGGCCTCCCAAAGTGCTGGGATTACAGGCTTGAGCCACCGCGCCCGGCCTCTTCAATGATTTTTTCAAAATTCTTACAATTCTTTGATTATATCAGACGCCAAGCTATTTTTAAAGTTAACACTACAGTTTCTTCAATCAATGGAAAACTTTCACTATTTGCAGTAAGAAGCATAGTGCTTAGAATATGATAGTTGCTCAAAAATACTTGCTGAGTGAATGGACACTGCAAATGTCCATGTGACCATGAAATGAGAGCACACCACACACACACACAGACACACACATGCACACAAAGAGGATATGAGAGCTTAAAGCATGCATTTAGTCAACAAGCATCTAACGGGTGCTGGCATCCTCTAAGCATGAAAGGCACAGGAGTGAACCACACCGACAAAATCTCCTCCTAAGAGGTGATGCATAGTAGAACACAACAGCAGACGCTCGAAGACTAGATCAGGGAGCAAAGCCACCCTGCATCTCTAGCCGACTGGGGGCCTCCTGTGCTGGCTGGTGAACCACTGCCTGCTGGATAATCACGAAAGCCGCGGTCTCTCCAGGGATCCTCTCAGCTTCTTGCCCCTCACATGGCCTCACCCATCCGGGTGCTGAGGATGTTTACTGAACTGAGCACTCCAGGCAGAATATTTCACAGAACACTAGTCAGAAGTCACTAACTAGTCACCACTACCCAGTTTACCATTTCCACGTTGCATTCACTCTGTGAAAGCAAACAAAGCCCAGATGAGGGCTGGCCTGACAGGATATAGGTAAACACTCCATCAAACGTCATTAAACACCAGAACCAGAAATTGCTAATGAAAATGCCTTTCCCTCTCCAAAACTGAGAGTCACTTCTACAATGGTGGGGTCTTTTTCTTTCTTTAGAGGAATGGGGTGTTACTATTTATATTTTGTTCTGCTGGAGGTAGGAAGGCTGCAACCCAGTGGCTCAAAGGTAGAAGTGTCTGACCAAGGAGACCTGTCCACCCCCTTCAGATGCCTTAGTGGGGTGGGAGCTGGTACACCTCCTCCCCGAATGCATCTGACGCCTCCTTCCATTTCTCAAGAAATCGTTATCTCCACGGGGGAAGGAAACTAGCAATGTGCATACGAGCAAAGCAAGCGCAGCAGGAGAGAAGAAGAGGCCAGGGAACACTAGGAATGATTCAGGGAGGGAAGTCCACCAGGGCGGGGCTGCCTCAGCCACACACGCTTGCCAAAGCAAGCTTCACCCATCACAGCAGCCCCTACTCAGAAACAATTAAGAAGCAACTGCTCAAGATAGCTTCAGCTTTGCATTGATCTTCTTTTAAGTCTGTTTGCCAGTATACAACATATAAATACTTCAGCCCTTCATACCCAAACAAGATAATCCTCCAACCTAAATAAAAATAGTAGGCATAACCAAACCACCAGCCACAGTCTGAACATCTGTGTCCCCATAAAATTCATGTTTGAGACCCAGTCCCCAAGATGATAGTAACAAAAGTGAAGCCTTGCGGGAAGTGATTCAGTCACGAGGGCAGAGCCCTCTGGAATGAGATCAGGGTCCTCATAAAAGAGGCCAGAGTGGTAAAAGGAATTCGAGGAGAAAAATACATGTAGCTAGATAGATGCACACATATATATATACTAACATACATACATACATAGATGGAGGCCCCGGAGGGAGCTTGCCTGTCCCCTTCTGCTGTGAGGACACCACTGGAAGGCACTACTCTAAAGCAGAGTGAGCCCTCACCAGACACCAAATCTGCTGGTGCCTTCATCTTGGACTTCCCAGACTCCAGAACTATGAGAAATAAATTCTGTTGTGTATAAGCTACCCTGTCTATGGCATTTTATCATAGCAGCCCAAATGAACTAAAACAATCTATTTGGGAGCAGAAGAAAGGAAAACAAATCTATTTGTCAAATCCTGCTTAAAACTCTTTACTGACTCTAGCTCTCAGGACAAAGACCAAACTCCTGCCCTGGCCCCAGGCCTGCTTCCTCTTTCAAAGCCTAAGTCCCCTTCACCCCTAGCTGCCACCAGGCACTCCTTGAGTCCCCCATGCAAGCAGCACCCCCACCTAAGGTCCTCTACTTATGCCATTTCCTCTCCCTACAACACTTTATTTCCGCCTCTCCACCCCCTAGTCAACACCAACTCATCCTTTGTGTCCCAGCTCAAATGTCACTTCTTCAGGGAAGTCCTAGCCCTCCCCCATCCCTAAACGAGATGAAGATCCTGAACTATACATGCACTGCACCTCTTTCCTTTCAAACCTCCTAGCACTGGCTGGTGTTTGTTACGTTGTATTACCATCTGTCCCTGCATACCGAAAGCTCCATGAGGGCAGGAACTGTTTGTCTTGTCCAGTCATATGTCCAGTGCCTCAGCACACTGAGCGAGTGAGTGAGTGAGTAGCTCCTGAGGCCTCCCTAGGAACACAAGTCAGTGAACTACAGCCTGGGGTCATTTCCAGCCTCTGCCTATTTCTGCACAATCTACAAGCCAGGGACAGTTTTTACATTTTTACTTTGCTATTTTGTTTTTTTGAAACAGGTTCTCCCTCTGTCACCCAGGCTAGAGTACAGTGGCGCAAACACAGCTCACTGCAATCTCCACCTCCTGGGCTCAAGCAGTCCTTCTGCCTCAGCCTCCCAAGTAGCTGGGACTAAAGACACGCGCCATCACACCTGGCTAGTTTTTTTTGCTCGTTTTTTGTTTGCTTGTTTTTTGTTTTTTGTTTGTTTGAGAAGGAGTCTCACGCTTGTCGCCCAGGCTGGAGTGCAATGGCGCCATCTCAGCTCACTGCAACCTCAGTCTCCTGGGTTTAAGCGATTCTCATTCCTGAGCCTCCCAAGTAGCTGGGATTACAGGCATGCACCACCATACTCAGCTAATTTTGTATTTTTAGTAGAGACAGGGTTTCACCATGCTGGTCAGGTTGGTCTTGAACTCCTGACCAAGTGATCCACCCACCTCAGCCTCTCAAAGTGCTGGGATTACAGGCGTGAGCCACAGTGCCCAGGCACACCTGGCTAGTTTTTAAATTTTTGTAGAGATGGGGTTTCACTTTGTTGCCCGGGCTGGTCTTGAACTCTTGGGCTCAAGTAATCCTCCCACCTATGCCTCCCAAAGTGCTGGGATTACAGGAGTGAGCCATTGTGCCCAGCTAACATTTTCAAATGGTGAAAAAAACAAAAGAATATTTTATGAAATGTGAAAATCATATGAAATCCAAATTTCAGCATCCATAACTAAAAGTTAAAACACAGCTACGTTGATTCTACGGTTGTTTCTGTACTACTACAGCAGAATAGTGACAGGTAGCAGGGTATGCAAAACCTAAAATACTATGTGGCCCTTTACATAAAACGTTTGCCCCTGCTCTAACAGTGAGTGTCCTTGGAGTCCTGACTATGGGCATGAAATACCAGAGACCTGAAAATACGGAACCAACTGTAAGCCCGCTCCTCTGGGAAGGGGTGAGTCACAACCCCTGTTGGATTCCTGATGTCCATTACATTCAGTGGGCATTCACTGAATGGCTGCCACCTCCATGACATAGGCAAGAACAGCATGTCATACACCTGTATATTTGGGAGTTCTGGCCGATCGATTCTAAAGGGTCAGGGCTCAAACTAAAACCAGTGCTTACTGGGTGACCAGTTTCTATTCATTCAGTCAACAAATGTCTACCTGGACAGCTTACCTTAGTCAGTTCAGGCCGCGCTAACAAAGACACCACGCAGACTGAGGGGCTTAAACAGCAGAAACTTACTCCTCAGTTCTGAAGGCTGGAAAGTTCAAAATCAAGGTGCTGGTCAATTTGGTTCCTGGTGAGGACCTTCTTCCTGCTTTGCAAAGTAATGCCTTTTTGCTGTATCTTCATAGGTGGAGAGGGAGCTCATCTCTCCAGGGTCTCTCTTTATAAGGGCACTAATTCCATTCATGAAGCCTCTGCCCTCATGACCTAATTACCTCCCAAAGGCCCTGCCTCTAAATAACATCACATTGGGAGTGGGTGTTTCAACCTATGAATTTTTCAGGAACATAACACTAGTCTACAGTATGTCTCCTTTGTGCCAGATACTGTCGCAGGAGCTGAGGACCCACACAGTCCATAGGGAGCTTATCCTCTGGTGAGCAGGAAAGAGGACGGAGACTCTCCCGCAATGAGGACTGTGTGAGAGGCAGTGGGAGATGGAATGCCACTGTGCTCTATCACAAGCATAATACTCGACTTGCCTGGAAGGAACCTACTAATTGGAAAGCCATGAAAAGTTAAATCCCCATACCTTAAAGAGTTAAATCGTGCTTTAAGACAGAGTAGATGCCCTAGGGCAGAACAGCTTAGGAGAACCATACAGCAAAGAAGGCTGATTCACCACATCCATTTTGTACTGAACACACTATGATTACCAAGCCAACAAATGTTTGTCATTAAGAGAAATTTCCACACCAGGGAATGTGCATTCCCACCACAATCAGTTAAAAATAGGGGTACACAGCTATTCAGTTACATGTGGCTAGGAAACCAACACACATGTCCATTTAGCACCAAGCACCTAAGGAGGGAGGAATTCATGTGCTGACTGCCTGAGCATGCTCTCTTGCTCCAAAGCCTACAGAGATCTGGAAGAGCAAGGCTGTTTAAGCTTCATCCTTGGTCAGTCACATGCTCTCCTTCCCCTAAATGCCTCAGATTCCAGCAAAGCTCGTGAGAAGCCTCCAGCACCCCTACACACAG